AGCCACACCTACCTAAAACGGCTCGTTCTAACACGCCCCCACATACCTACGTCACTATTTGGGCGGCGTTATGCAACTCTTCCCAGATAGTGACGTAGGTATGTGGGGTGTGTTAGAACGAGCCGTTTTAGGTAGGCGTGGTTGACTCTTAACTTTTATAAAGAATATCTCTTTGGATTTGAGACTTTAGTCTTTGCAACTTTACAGATCTTCTTTATGCACCAAGAGCTTGTAACACTCCAAAGAGAAAGGAAAAATTGAAATCGCATCATATGACCCCTTTAATACTATTTTCCACATTCAGAAAAATAGTCAGAACATCAAAATGAAATGACAAAACAGCCACTTTGCAGGGATTCCAGCATTTCATGAGGTGCACCCTGGGATACTTTTTAAGCAGCATGTTTGCTGAACATTTGTTGGCTTCTATTCCCTCACTATCTGATCAAACTTCGCCATGTTAATGTTACTGCAGTTGTTGTTTTGTAAAGAAATTAATGTTAATATTATAAATGAACTGCTCCATCATTATGAGTCACTTTCACCCACACATTTTGTGTTTTAAGTACTGACTGAAAGTGGAATTCTAATTACATTACAGAATAATGGGATAGGTTTTGTCCATACAATAAAAGTGAACTACTCTAAAACAACAGGAAATCATGTAGTGTATGGTAACAGACTCCGATTTTTAGCTTCAGACTTAGACTCCATCCAGTCAGAAACATGTTTGATATTTCGAGTCTATTTTAGAACATGCATTACTTTCATGTCTGTCACGCATCTCCCCCGCAACAAGGCACACGTTTCTGCGCGAGTTTGTTGTGATCGGAACGACTTTAAAGTCTGGTAGTGTGTGATCCTCAGTCGTTTAGTGTATGATGGCCAGCTTTTCCTCTGTGACTATTACAAAGTCGGTAAGTGTATGATTCCCAGTGTTTTAAAATCTGTTCAGATTATAAATGTCATGTAGTGTATTCCAGCCTATAATACAGTTATGAAACAACATGACAGTGATTAAACAATGACAGAATTTCCATTTTCAGTGAACTACCCCTTTAAGCAAAAAAAATAAAATAAGTTGCATGTAATGCATATATTTAAAATTTTTGCTATATGCTCCTCTAGAGATAAAAAAATGCTTTCCGCAAGTTTTCTCTATGTGAATAAACAACTATTACTCGCCTCTCTTTTAGCTCATCTGTTAAAGATTTTATGTGTGACTGTGGTGACACACATCCAAAACTTGTGCTTGGCTGTGCAGATGTGGCCTCAGCACATCCTTCTTTTCCCTGATAACTCTCTCCATCCCCAGCTCGTTCTTCCACAACTGCTTCCTCTTCTCCCTCAATCTGCTCCATCTCTCTCTCTCCAGAAGAGGTGCCTGGGTTTGGGAGCTGTTGACTTTTCTTCTCCTGTGCTGTGTGGTCACAAACTTTGACACTCTTCAAACTATGAAGGCTGTTGTTGTTTTCTGTAGGTTGGTGCATTTCATCAAAGCTGAGGGAGGAGATCTCACTGATGGAGGGATCTGGTAAGTTTTGGAGCTGTCTGCAGACAAGGGAAGGGGTGCTTGATAGCAGGGGACGTTTACTTGGGAGCTGCTGGTCATCGCTATCATTGAAAGAGACCTCAGCCAGAGCCACACGTTTCTGTGAGCGTTTGCGGTTCTTGAGAGCAGCGTGATTCTTTGAGTCATGTTTATCCATGTCAAATGGCCTTCTGCTTGCAACACGCTTATTTTTGGAGAATGAAGGGAGGAAATCATCCGAGGAATCTAGCGTGCGGTGAAGAACAAGAGACTAGGAGGAAAGGAAAAAAGCGGGAAAGACAAGAACCCTGCTTTAACGACAGTCCATCGGAATTTTCTCTTACATACAAAGTACCCCCAGCATACTGTTACTTACGATCCTCTTAGTTCGGATAGTTGCCGGTGGTCTTTTGCGTTGTGTAACAAATCTGCCCAAATGGGGAGGGTCTAATACTTTCTTGGCACTGCAGGGGTACAAAACAACATTTCACTTATGCTGACTGAGTTATGTAACACTATTGATGTTCAGATTTTTCACAAAATGTATAACAAGCTTACCCAGCACATTCATCAGCAGATGATTTTGGACGGACTTTATTCTTCATCATCAAGGCATCATCCTCATTTTCACTGCTAGTGAAAACGATTAATTGTTTATTTCGTTTTGCCTTTGTTGTTTGAGTTCTCATAGCTGTTGTCCTTACTGATGGTTTTGCATTTACCTTTTTTCTGCAGAAACAAAGTCATACAGAACAGTGACAAAAAAGGTAATAGCTGTTCAGTCTACTGAGAATTTCTAATGGGTTTTAGAATCTTCAAATTATGAGTAAAATAAGAACTAGGGTTCATGTCATTGAAAGTTGACAGAAAAGTCTGCATTGAAATAATATATTCTCTGTGTTAATAGTTCATCTGTTCTACGCAATGTTGTTGAGTTGTTTTGCCACAGTCCTGACCGGGATGATACGGACGGCGTGTAGTTTTCCTCATCACTCTCTTTCTCCTTTATGGCAGTCATGCCTTTGCTCTTTGCGGCATGGGAGCCTGTTTCTCTTACTCTCCTTAGAACAGAGAAAGGAATGAGAAATTGTAATGCATAATAACAGGTTGCCTATAGAAAAGTTCAACTAGAGTTTTGTAATATAAAATGGCAATGTTAATGAATAAATAGGTGAGAGCATGTTTTACCGCTTCTTGGGATGTGTGATTTCTGATATGGACTGATCCGATGAGGGAGTGCTTGAAAAAGAGAAAGCTGCTTTCTTCAGGTCAGGGGAGAACCAAGGCTCAACCTTTCGCATTCTTTTACTGTACGTCTTGATAAACACCGGCCCATTTTTTCCTGTTGCATTCATCTTGGATCTTTACTACAAAGTAGAATTAAACCATTACCATATAAAAATGGAGAAACAATAACTTGCAGCTTAAACTAGAGCATGTACTAGCCACAGCAAGGTCTTGGGTTAAAGTCCCTGGGAAATCATGAAATGACCAAAAAAACAAACGCAAAAAAAGCGCAAATGTAGTTCCTCTGCGAATGAATGCATGTATGATGAATGTTAGCAACACTTTACAATAATGTTTAATTTGTTAATATTAGTTAACTTAAATAATTTATCATGAACTAACAATTTATAATATGTCTACAGCATTTATTAAAATCATTTCATTTTAATTTCAAGATTTGCTAACACATTTTAAGATCAAACATGGTATCTGTTAACATTAATTAATGCAATGTAAACCAACATGAACATTTTTATTAACCAACATTAACAAAGGTTAATAAAAGCTATAAAAAATACATTACTCATTGTTAGTTCAGGTTAACAAATGAGACCTTATTGTACAGTGTCACTATAATATTCTATAAACATTCCACCTCACAATCTCCGAAATAAACTCATTTTGAATTTCAATGCATTTTAGTCTGATACAAGATCATCTTTACAGATGGAGATGACCTAAAAATCATCAGGTTTTAGTCTTATTTGAAACGTAGATTTTCTAGAGATTTGTATAAACTGATCATTAATCCACGATCCCTTGAAACAGTTTTTGTACTAACACAAAAATGAAGGCACGTAAAACACAAGCAGACAATGAACGAAACGCTCGAGAACAGTGACATTTCACTGAGTTTTCAAATATACACATTTTCAAGGCAAATGACCTAGACCAGAACGGATCAAACGGTTTGCAGTTACTAAAACAGACTTTCTGAATATAAACTATTTGAAATCATTTGAAAATAAGTAGAAATAATTCATTAATTCTTGACTGCATACATGCATAAACCTCTAATGTTATACAGGAAACAACTGCACTACCATGCCCATAGTTTAAAAACCAAAAGCGTTATGTTGACAATAACTGAATTTACCTCAACAACTTATCAACATGTTGATCGCTTCGCAAAATTTCTTAATAGCTGTATAAGCAAAAAATGTGAAGTCTTCGATTACAGAACCAATGAACAATACTGAGGACCGCGATGAACCGCTTTACGTTCAAACCTGAGAGCAGTTGCTGATTGGCTTTTTCTTCTTCATGTGTAATGGCGGCTCGTTCCTTTGGAGCATTATCGCCACCTTCTGTACACTGTGGATGGATCCAAAGACTATAGAATACCCTAGGGACTTTGCTGGATCTTGTGTTCTGCAGTGAGGAGGACCATCTCCCCCCAATCTCCAGATCTAGGGCTGCTGCAGCCATCATCTATGCGTGTTCAGCTCTGTCTTATAAAATTAAAAAGTACCTTAATTGCACATTTATGCACTGCTTAGTCCAGACTTTTAATCATGTAACAAACAATCCATGAGACGTTTCATATTAGTCAGTAGGCCTACTGATATCACCAGGGCGAAATCTAATCACGTTATATTTTATGTAACATTAATGCTGTGTATATTACATGATAGTGTATATTATATATTGATACCTATGCAACAAATTAGTATTATAAGAATCTTTAATAGTTAATAGCAAGGGCGTAGTTTTGGTTTCAACATTGGGTGGGTTGAAGTGTGAACGGTTTTAGTAGAGTCCCAGAGCATGCTCACTCATAAGGTTTATTTGTTTGCTTATATATTTATTTTTGTGAAATGGTCTTTTGTGCTATCGTCTATGCAAAGTTGGTGCAATAAAGTAACATCATAGTTAATTACTTGTTTACATAGGATATATATATATAGTATTTTATATTATTTAGGAACTTATAGGCTATAGTTTGACAGAATGTTCTAATTCAACATGCCATGGGAAGTCAATCTAACTTAACATTTTCTCATAGTTATATT